TTTTCATGAGAGCCTGGAGCTCTTGCCGCACCTCGCCAACCTGCGCCTCATACTTCTCCCGCTCGGTGCGCTCCGCAGCCGCCCTCTTCTCGGCCTCGGACATCGCTTGCTTAAGGGTCGCCACCTCAGTCGTGGCCCCTACAATAGCCACGTTAATCCTGTCATTTTTTGCAATTGCACCTTTTATATATTCCAATAAGGTATCCCTTACCTTCCTTCTCCTCGAGCTACCGCTTGGCAAGGCCGAGCTCTTGCTCGGACCGCTGGAGGCCCTGCATTAGCGTGCCCACCTCCGCAGTCAGTGCGGCGGACGTTACCAGCGAAGCCTGCATACGCATATTGACTCATTTTTTGTTAGACTCCTACGAATTTTATTAGATCCTCTATTCGGCTTTTCTTTCCGAACGCCAAGCAGAGCATCAGGGGCTACTGTCTATGCGGTAATATTTTTACATATTCTTTACTTACCTCAAAGCCTATTAAAAGGCTGGCACATGCTTCAGTCAGTCCGCTCTTGGCGGACTGAACCTTCTGGATCACCGCACTCATAATAGTGCGGTGCTCCTCGTCGATGGAGGCGCCGTTAAGCACCTCCAGCAAATTGTCTGGTGCTTCCGGTTGGACGGAGGTCACCTGCTCGGCAGGCTTGCTCCTCTTGGAAGGAGGCTGCCTACCAGAGTCCGGAACCATTGAAGGTTCCGGCACGGTGTCCGGCTCAAAGCCAGACTTGGAGCCCTGGGGGGTTCTATCCCCTTTACTCCTGGAGTCCGGGAGGTCGCCTTGCGGCTCCTCCAGGACCACCTCCTCCTGGCGCGGAACCTGTTGGGACGCCACCTCGGCGTCGTCCGTAGGGCGGGGGGAGGTAGCCGTCGGAAGTGAATTCACGTCCGACGAATCCAGGGAGCCGCTCGACGACTCGTCGAGCCCGGCCTTGGGCGGACTGCATAATTATATTCGACATAAGAAAAGGTTGTGCAATAAAGGAATACTATGAATTACTCTGGTATCCGGATACTTACGATTTCGCCAGGGGCTTGGCCCTGAGCGGCCACTCCTCTCCACCGTTGTCGGTGTTGGTGGAGTAGTCCGGTGGAAGGGTTTTCCCTTTCTTGGACTCTTCGGCCTTCCCAGTTGGGGCGACCTTCCTTTTCTTTCCTCCCCCCGCTGGAGGGGGAGAGGCTTCTTCTTCCTCCTCCTCGTCTTCACGGGAGGAGTGCGTCTCGGAGTCGTCGGATGATGAATCCGACACCACCAGGCGCCGGGCACTCTTTCGAGTCCCCGTGGCCTTCTTCGTGGCCTTCTTCTCCGGCACCACATAGGGTGCCGGAACCAGCAGCTTCGCTAAGCGAGCATCGGCTAGGCCTTCGGGCAGAGGGGCCGGACAGTTAACCTGCTCGGCCTTCTTCAACCATGCATGTCAAAGGCACGGGAGATTAGATCCCGCATAGAATCAAACTATGAAAAACAAATATCCTGTAATAGGTAGAAGCAGCTTACCGCGTTGGCGTGGCGCTGCGTGCTGAATCCGTGATCTTCAGTCGCGGATGCGGGAGCCTCAGCGCCCTTGAAAAGCACCTTCCAGGCATCTTCGTACGTCGTGTCGAAGAGCCTGTTTAGAGTTTGGTGCTGCGCCGGGTCGAACTCCCACAAACTGAAGGCCCGTTGTTGGCACGGGAGGATCCGGCGAACGAGCATGACCTGGACTACTATAACAAGTCTGAGCTTCTTGCTCACCAGGTTTTCGATGCATGATTGAAGTCCGGTCACCTCTCCCTTTTCACCCCACGACAGGCCGGTCTCCTTCCAGGAGGTGAGCCGCGTAGGGGTTCCAGATCGGAATTCGGGGGCTGCGAACCACTCAGGGTCGCGCGGCTCGGTGATGTAAAACCACCCTGATTGCCACCCCTTTAGGGTCTCTACGAAGGAGCCCTCGAGCCATAGGACGTTGGGCATCTTGCCCACCATGGCGCCTCCGCACTCCGCCCGGTTGCCACGCACCACCTTTGGCTTGACATTGAAAGTCTTGAGCCATAGGCCGAAATGGGGGCGGATGCAGAGGAAAGCGTCACACACGACGATAAACGCCGAGATGTTGAGGACGAAATTCGGGGCCAGATCATGGAAATCCAGGCCGTAGTAGAACATGAGCCCCCGGACAAATGGGTGGAGAGGGAAGCCCAGTCCGCGGAGGAAATGGGGGAAGAACACCACCCTCTCATGGGGCCCGGGGGTGGGGATGAGCTGCCCCGCTTCGGGAAGCCGGTGCGTGATGTCGTTAGACAAGTATCCGGCCTTCCTCAGCTTTTTTATGTGTCCCTCCGTGACGGAGGAGACCATCCACCTGCCTCCCGCTCCGGACATGGCTGGAGAAAGGTTGAGGTGGGGGAATGCGGACTTGGGCGCTGGAGCTCGAGTGCGCGGAAATGGATAAGCAAAGGAGGAAGAAGGGGTGGATGAAAAAGGTGGATCCTTATCCCCTTATATGGGCGGATGCGACTATGCGTCCCTACCAGCCTGGTAAAACTCGCTTATCTCCCAAGCGCCGTAATCAATGGCGCGGTTGGGTTACCCACGTCCGTATTGATGAGAATCACGTAAATAAAGGGGACACGATCTCTTCTTTGACAAGACGTGCCAAGGAAACTGCCTCGCTAAACGCGCTGAGGTGGGACAACCAAACGATTCGAATAAAAGATTGGCCGTGGTGTGATGTCACGCTACGGAATACGTCAGCAGATTAGATTCGTGTAAATATTATTCTCTCTATGGCAATATGTGGAAATTTATTTTGCAGAGCCGGACACTATCCTTGTGTTCAAAATCTTCTATGAAGTACTTGGAGGAGGAACCCGCCTTGCAATGCCGAAGACAATCTGCGCGCCGGACTCGTCGTCATTGAAGCCTGGTTCAGGGGCTACTGAGGGAGTCCTGGATTAGGGGGTGTCCGGATAGCCGGACTATACCTTCGGTCGGACTCTTGGACTATGAAGATACAAGATTGAAGACTCCGTCTCGTGTCCGGAAGGGACTTTCCTTGGCGTGGAAGGCAAGCTTGGCGATACGGATATGTAGATCTCCTACCATTGTAACCGACTCTGTGTAACCCTAGCCCTCTCCGGTGTCTATATAAACCGAAGGGTTTTAGTCCGTAGGACGAACAACAATCATACCATAGGCTAGCTTCTAGGGTTTAGCCTCCTTGATCTCGTGGTAGATCTACTCTTGTATTACCCATATCATCAATATTAATCAAGCAGGAGTAGGGTTTTACCTCCATCGAGAGGGCACGAACCTGGGTAAAAACATCGTGTCCCTTGTCTCCTGTTACCATCCGCCTAGACGCACAGTTCGGGACCCCCTACCCAAGATCTGCCGGTTTTGACATCGACAGTAAGTATAAGTAAATCCACTCTAAAGCAAGTGCTCTATTATTTACTGATACACAACGGAACATTATGACATATTTGAAATGAGAAAAAAGAGGCCCAACGAAACATCACGCAACACTAGGAAACAAAACAATTTTTTTCGCAAACAAAAAAATGGCACAAATGTCAAAGCAGTGACAAAATTGTTTGCAAAATTAACAAGAGCTCCTAATGCTAATGAGTGCAATAAAAACAATTCACTCAATAATATATTTCAGAAGTTGTTTTACAACATGCTAGAGGGGGGGAACTTAAGCAAGAAATTATGATTTCTAGAAAATTAGAGGTTGAATGGGAACCAAGAATAAAGATTGGCATCAATAATTGTGAATATAATCATCAACCCTATCTTGGTGCTAGTGTTTCCTCCATACCATAATCTTTATATGGGTTCTAGGATTACAACCAATGTCTCTACGTCTGAACTGAACTTACATCTTGCCGATTCTACTACAAATAAACCTTTGAGAAGAATAAATAATGTTCTCATTGTTGCTAACCTGAGTTATGTTCCTGTTGATTTTACTGTTATGGACATAGAAAGTCATCAATAATGTCCAACTATTTTGTGAAGATCATTCTTAAGAAATGTTGGTGATGTGAACTGTATAAAAGAAGAAAACATCAAATTCCAATTTCCCATAAGAAAAGGTATGGAACACGTAGGTTAATCTTATTTTGCACGATTTTTTAGTACAAAATTCAGTCCAGAGTTCTTTTAAGATAGTCCTCTTTACCTCCTTAGGTGTAAGACAATGCTTCAATCTCAGCCGTTGGTCTACGGAGGGTAAATTTGGCTATAATGCAAGCAATGATATCAAGGAACCAATAAATTATTTGGTAAGTACGTTTCCATTAGTTAGCATCAATTGGTACTGATTGAGTGATTGTCAACAACCATACCATACAAGTGAATGGCCAGTGTACAACTGTACATCAGTATTTTCTCAGTTTCTTAACACTAGAGGATGGTACTGGTTGCAATTCAAAATTTTAAATAATGACATGTAATATAGGTTAGTATGAAACAAAAAACATGTAATAGGTGGGACAATCATATAAATAGAAATGAACCATGTTCACAAATACAATTTTAAATGCTGCCACAAAAATCCAAAGTACTATTTTTTGCGTGGGAAAAATCCAAAGTAATTTAGTTTCCTTTAGAAATGGCTGTAAAAATGTTCGTTAAAATTAATCTCGCATTTTCTCCCAAACAACCAGGTTTGAACGAAATGAAAAGGAATAATTAGGAGATAATATCCATTTACATGGTTTTCATATCATACCAGCCCATTAATAATTTGATTTTGCATCGATATGTACAGTGTATCAGTAGTTGACTACATGTTTCTTTCCAGCTACATTAACCCTACCATTTAGGTTTTGCTAACTAATGAAAACTATTGAAGTGCAAAGACGCTATTAACCTTGACAAGGTAAACATGAACTTGTCTCAAAATGAACGGACCAAAACAATTTGGGACCATCTTAAAATTGTTCTTCCATCAAACAGGCCTCGGGGCGGTTGACTTGTTTGCACGACCTATGGGCCGACCCAGGGTCCACATCTCACTCGTACAAGGCTTCAATTTCACTCTGATATTTGGCTGCCACTCTGTCCCTTCTTATCTTCATGGTCGGTGTCATCAAACCATTATCAATCTGAATATGGAAAACCATACCAAGCTAGTAAATAACATAGCTACTCAATCATCAGCTAACGGAAACTTATCGTGCATTGTTCGAGAAAATCTTACCGTAAATGGTTCTTCAACAACAAGAATAGGGCCAATCTGGAATGAGCAACCCGCCATCCTGGTATTTATTAACAAATTAATTCAACTTATGCGATATTGATCTGACAAGACTGAAATCGCATGTTAAAATTAAAATCCTAAATACCAGTGTCTCACTACTGCTGATTTTGTTTTAACTTTCAATGATTGATTTAATTCTCTTCTGATTATTGAACATCTGCAATCTTCAAATTAGCTAAAAAGTCTCAAATATGTAGGCAGAATTCACAAGAAAAATAAGATTATCTGAAACGTTAAATTAAAAAAGGCAGGCAACTCTTACCAAGTTCTCAGCTCATCATATAGCAAGTTCATGACCGTATCTTTGGCTTCGTCATTGTTCCCATCGAGGCTGGACTTTCTTTTTGCAGCTGCTAGAGCTTCATTATTATTGGGAACAACAATTGCACCAAGGCGTCGTCGATCCTATGCAACAAACAAATAACACAGACCATGACAAAAATTCATCATTCAACTTCACCAGTGGTACTGATCTATTTCATCATCGAAATACCTACATATAATCGTATTGTACTAACTCTTTTCATGAACAAAAATACACCACATGGTTTGAAATAACGATCTGGCAGTTCTATAAACATTTTTGCTTATCACTTGAGAACTTTTATTTTCTCACAGACCACATCAAGGAGCATCAATTGCCATGATAATAATCAATTAATCATAGCAGGACATCCCGTATAGCTAGCACTTATGAGGTTATGCCCTTTTCCTTACCTGGCCAATAACCATTATTTGATCAATCAAGCTACTCCTGCTTGCTATTTCCTCAAGCTCAGCAGGTTCAACATTCTCACCTGGAAATTGGGACATTCAAGTGCAATTAGATCTAGTAAACATTCAAGTGCAGCCAAATTTAACTAGAGTTATGTGATCTCCAAGACATATGAATTAATTGATTTTTTTTCGAGAGTATGACATCACACCCCGGTATACAAAGAAGTGGAATGTCATAAATCAATGCACAGAGATGACTGTAAATAAATCACTTTGAGTACATAATACTCAAAGTGACGTTCTCAAAAAAACAACAAACTAATTGCAATACCTGTAGCGAGAACTATCGTATCCTTTGCACGCCCTTCAAGAACAAGTATCCCTCCACATTTTCGACTAGGCCCTGTGGCATGGTGAGGTGCAATCCAGCCTATATCTCCAGTGTTGAACCAACCTTCTTGATCCAAAGCATTATTTGTAGCAGATGGATTCTGTGACAACAGAAGTTTAAAAGATAAATGAGAACCTTCTAAGGAAGATGAAGCTCAAATGAACAAGTACAGAGCATGGTATCTTAATATGGATTGTAAGATTTAGCTAACTGACAGACATCGACGCCACCTTATGAAATGATGGTTCAGAAATATCACAGTTTGTGAGGTTTTTGTAAATTCTATTTTTTCCGATACTAGCGTTGATGTCATGATAAATAAAAATGTCCAATATTTGTGTCCTATACATTCGTTAGTTGATTATAAGCGTGATCATAACGTCTGAAACTTTGTGCTCTATTCATGGAATTAACAGGCTTGGGGTGTAATATATCCGTCACTGAGGAAACGAAGTTTCATGAAGATCCTGAGTGCTGAATAAATATGCTTATTGCACCAAGTAATATGTTTACACAAGATCTCTTTCTATAATATTTGACAGTTGATTTGTGTTGGTATAGGGAATAGATAGAACCTTATAATATCCCTTCATTACTGGTGGTCCTTTAATCTTCACAATCCCCTTTGAACCATCTGGGAGCACCTCACCGGTCTCTATGTCCACAATCTTGATTTCTGTATGCTTTATTGGGTGGCCAACTGTGCCAAGAACCTTGTTACATCAACTGCTTATGTTAGTATTGAGTATAACATAAGCTATAAATAGGGAAGAGTACGAATGGGAGGTAATTCACACACAACTGGTTATAAGTTTGCAATCAGTTCAAATCACACACAAATATGCACAGGTATGGAAGAAGCACAAGATCAGCACAAAACATACAACACCAGAGTTATCATCTTCTTTGTCCTTAGAAATTAAAAATCCTGCATGCTCCTTTTTAAAGAAAATGGCGAAAACTTATGCATTTCAGGGGCCATGTCTGCTTCCAGATCCGAGTTTATTTGTATAGTAAGGTATCCTTTCTGGGAGCAAAAATGTGTCATCTGAATAATACTAATGACATTATTCCACCTTTTTCGGCTTTTTGTTGTGAAGAAATTAGCATCAAATAACCCAAGATCTAACCGAAAAATGCCAATGATGGGCGACCTCCATGGAGGTGATTATTTTGATTAAGTCAAAAATCATACTTTTGAAGTTTCAAAAAATTCTGAAAAAAAAATCATACATGTTCATATGGATGTATTCTACATGCGTGCACTTTTTGAAGATGATATACATTATAATGAGAGCTACACAAAAAAGAAAAAATCACAATTTGAAACCGATGAACAGCACAAACACTGTTCACTACTAGAAATGCTGGATTTTGTCTTTTATTGTATAGCTCTCACCATAATGTATTTCATCGTCAGACTTTATACACATGTAGAACACATCCATATGAATGTGTATAATTTTTTTCAGAATTTTTTGTAACTCCAAAATGTGATTATCGAATTTTAAAAAAATATCCACCTCCATGGTGGTCGCCCGCCAAAAGCCTGCACCTAACTCACTATATGATCTTCCTATTAAATACAAAACCAATTATTTTTCAACATGCCAGAAGATCAGTCAATGAATGCATATACTCATGTGAAACCTCTTACATTACAGAATGGACGCCTAGCAGCTACAGCAGGGGAAGTCTCTGTTAGACCATAGCCATTTTGCACTTTGATACCAATGGCCTGAAAGAGAACAATATTGATGAATGGATCATTTAACATAAGAATTATATTTATTGATAATCATGTACCTCAAAAAACTTGTCCACATGCATCGGGAGGCTTCCACCACCACTTATAGCAGCCTGCAAATTATCACAGAAACCATAGAATTATTAAGTACAGTCAAGACTAAAGTTCAGGAAGCTCATTTCACACTCAAACTGCAATCGAGATAGCATAGCAATAGGCACATGGGCAAGATAAGTGTACCTTCGAAATTCCGATTGTAGAATGGATTTTCTTGTAGACTAACATCTTTGCCAGATTATGCAAGGGCCACAAAAGAGCAGCAACAATTCTTGCCCATAGACAATTGAACATGTAGGAAATGGACGATGGCTTGACAGGATTCTTTGATAAGACTGTTCCCTTTCCAGACAGAAAAAGGAAATTGGGCTCAGGGGAAAGAAAGAGGCTACAAAAGCAGAATCCAACGGGACACAAATTTATAGAGAACATCCAGTCATCAAAGAATTAGAGGAAGAGAATATAACGAATTTACTTACAGCTACGCGAATTAAGTAACTCATGCTAACTCAGGGTTCATACCTCAAATATCTTCTTTGCCTCCATATATAGCAAACTTATCTTGATAAGTGCAAGGGCAACAGTTTTTCGAGCAGGAGAACTGGAAGATATCTGCCTCTGAATTGAACTGTACAAAGCGAAGAAACATTACAAAATGGATCTAAGATTTTACGAACTGTTGCTAATCACTAGTGATCGACAAGAAATATCGATTTCATGGATTAAGAAAACTGATAGCCCAAACAAGCAAAAAAAGATATAATCAAACATAGATGTTGATAGCAAACGAAAGGTGAATATGACATGGAGCTGCATTCAGAGCATTAGAGAACTGAAGTAATTCTACTATCCAATATCATTCCTGTAAGAAACGTCATAGTTTAGATAAGCAGTTTAACTATATAATTAGAAAAACTAACCTGTACAGAGTTTCATAGACCAGTGGTACAGAGAAAACATAATGAGGTTGGTACTTCTGCAAATCTGCCTATAAAAGAAAATAAAAGATGTTAATATTACATAAGCAGTTTCAGCATCTTGCACAACAGACATGCAATAAAAATAGAACAAGAAGAAAACTGCAAGGTACACAAAATGTTGAGCGCATTGTGATACTGGGTTCCATGCATAGGGCACATGTGTCTCAACTTAATGACATCACTAGGCCTTTTGCCAAAACAAACTAGAATGAAGTATTTTGTGATGAAAAGTACCAAAATCATACCTTCAGGTATTTCACACTACTGTAAATTTGTTGAGTTCCATGAGTGAGGATGAAATACTCGGCAGAACGCTCATATGCATGCCAGGGTGGAAGCATGCTTAGGAACCTATCACCAGGTACTGCTGGAACAATCTCCCACATGTTATTTATCTGCAGAACATAAACATCATAAATCTTTATGTGGATACAGAAGGAACACTTTGAAAAAACTAAGCACTTCAGTTTAAAAAATCAAGGCACTTCAGACTTGAGATACTTTAGGAAATCCAGAAAAACATGATACTGATCAGCAAAAGTACCCATGTTTATATAATAGGATTACATCAAGATAAGGAGACAAAATAGAGGTTATTGCACAAGGCATAGTATATTACTTAAAAGTAAAAAACTCATTGTCCATATTTGAACATTGCTGCATGTTTAACCTGATGCAAGAGATTTCGGTGGGTAAGCATCACGCCTTTTGGTGCGCCGCTTGTTCCACTGGTATATATTAGAGTCGCAACATCTTCTGGAGTAATAGCTTCGAAGACACCTTGCCGACCTAAAGGAAGAAAAAGTTACAATAAAGTAGGACATAGTTGGAAGAAAAGGAACCATGAGATGACAATGTTGGAAATAAAAGAAGAATTTTCTATAGAAATATTCCTAGTGGTGTCATATTCTCTGAAGAAACAAAGAATAAGTTGTGTGCTCCTCTTTAAAACAACAGATGCCAAAGCTATTAAGCTTAGATAGAAACCATTTGCTGTTGGCTGCAAAGAACTTAAGTGGCAAGCTTTCGACATAACTTTGAGCCAACCATTAAATGACAAGCTTGCAAAACCAACAGTAATAGGTACATCTAGAGGCCTATATTATTGGATGCTAAGACATCTTACATGATGCAAATGATTAGCAACTTATCTGACATTCAACGTCAGAAATGCAGAAGAAAGTGAAGTACCAACAAATTAGAAGAAACGTGCTCCATACATCCTCAGCTAAACATTTCTTGTGATTTATATCATATTATGATATCATGCAAATGATACCTTGCTCACTTGAGTAGCACAATGCATTGCGATTTTCTCGTCCAAGTTCAGTGATATCATTGTAGTCATAAACAGGTATGTCCATCACAGCTTTACTATTTAGGGATGATTTATCACCCCAAAGTAGCACAATAAATCTTGCATTAATCCTTGAAATGAAAGTTTCTGCAAGCCGGTTAAAGAATTGAGGACTGTCCACAACAAGTGCAATACTGTGATGGGGGAAAAACAATAAAGTCATATCATAACATGAAAGTAAAAAACCGATATTTCTATAAAAAATTACACTGCATAAGCATGAGATATTCATCATAGCACCATTAACTAGCAATCGATGATCTCTAGAGTCAATGTGATATATACACAGGGTTATGTTTGAGGCAAAGCATTCTAGATGCAAAATAATAACCAAGCAAGCATAATTTGAGAGATTAAGTTCATCGCTAGGCGTGCGCATGATGATAACAATAATAGAATATTATGAACATTTTGGTCCAGTAAAGATGTCAAAACTACAATGCAGATGTTGCACTTTTTGTCACGTGCTAAGACAAGTCTGATCTGAAAGGTAGTCCATCCAGTTCTTACTTTAACTGTAGAGGGCAAAACCATGCCAAACTTGCACCTCAAATTTGCATGTCCTGTTAACATCAATACCTCGCTCAATTCTAATCTCAAAATACTATCAAACAAAATCAGTGGAAGAATTTAAATAGGCATATCAAAATAGTGTGTTGGCTTTTAATGGTCAGGTCCTGAATCCTGACAGGCACTTGGCTTAACAGTTCAAGGGTAGAAAGAGAGAAGTGGATGAAATTTCATTTATGTTGTGCGCGGCTTAGATTTTTACAGTTCCTAGATTGCATAATGAACCATTAAAAGCACAATCGAATAATTTCAAATTCACATTTCAAAAGGAGTTGATACTCACCTTTCTGAGTGGCTGTATATTTGGAACAGTTCTTCATCGGAAGATTTTGTTCCTCTAACAACATTGATAGCACCAGTAGCCATGATCCCTAGATTGCATGTGTCAGTGGCATGATTACTGATGAACATATATGATCATAACATTCCAGTGATTTGAACTCTTCATTTCTTCAGCAGCTAATATCGATAAGCATAAAAGATCGCAGAACAATACATGTGCATCATAATACATGTTAAACGTCTTGAAACAAGAAAAATGCAAATTACCTTGATCTGCAACTAGCCACCGACATGAGTTGTCAGCAAAAAGGGCTACCTTTTCATCTGGAGCAACACCCACGGCCCTCAGACCATGAGAGAAATCCAATATTTGTTGTTCAAGCTGGATAAAGAAGGTACATCAGATAAAATATATAAAAAACCAGTATTGAAGTGCATATGTATGTTACTCAGTAACAAAAGAAACAGCACATATGGCCCAACGATGCCTACTTTGTGTTCCTATTTCTAGAGAAAGAAAATGCCTTAGATAATCAGGCAGCAACAGAATTTATGGTGGTTGTTCAACAAGTACCTGCTTATAAGTCAGCTCGGACGGAGGATCATGGTAAGGGTCCACCAGAGCTACACTGTCAGGGTACTTTTCTGCTGCTGTCCTCCAAATATCAGGAACCGCCTTCCATTCATCCGCAGCCGGTTCGTTTCCAGCAGGCGACAAGAGAGCACTCTCAAGCAACGGCGAGCACTTGCTGCGAGCTGGGCTGTGTGTCTGCAATGTGGATTCATGAAAGTTTCAGGCAAAAAAAAAAAAAAAACTAGACATCATCTTGACGCAAACCATGCCTACTCTGTAAAACTGTCCTCTGCCTGTGTCACAACGCTGACAGACTCATCATGTTGAAGGTAAAATCTCACAAGACACAACTTGGATTAATTATACTCCTCTGTTGGCAGAGGTGAATCTCCCCAAAAGGCTTAGCGGAGTTGTTAAACATTGCAGGCACAACTAGTTATACTACTGCCATCTCTGAAGTCTGAACCTTGTTAATACTACTGCCATCTCTGAAGGTGGACACGCGACACTGCGACAGGCTGGGGCTGCTCTGTAAAACTGGGAGGCGGGGCGAGTGAACTACTCACCGTAGCGCCGGGGCGCGGGGGAGGGGCGGCGCCGGTGCACCGGGGCACGCACACGCGACCGCGCCGCGCCGCGAGGAGGCGGCGCCGGAGCGGCGGGGCGGCTGGGCGGGGCGCCCACGTCTGGCCGGCGGCGGAGGGGGCGAGGAGGAGCATCGCGAGGGTTCCCGCTGGACCAGTGTGAGCCATGGGACTGGGAGGGACGGGGAGACGCGCACGGCTGCATCTCTCCCCTCCATCGAGAGAGCTCTCAAGAAGTGGCGCGCTTGTCTGGCTGGGGGAGGTTGCCGGAGGCGAACGGCTCTCCTCTCTGCTCCGTCCCGTCGTTGTCTCCTGCAACGCAACAAGTTTTTCCGCGATCCCGTGTACTACATAAAGAAAGCACCTCACTAGCATCTTCAACAGGCGCCCAAAAAAGCTCCGCGCACTAAAATTTTGTTTTTTTGACGCTGCACAACTCCAGCAGATGTTGTAGCGTTAAAAGTTTTTGGGCGCGCGCTGAAAAACGCTATCGCGCGTAGCATATTTTGGGCTTCGGATTGCGCGCGCTTCACAATTTACACTGTGTGCTTTTTGTTTTTGGGCGTATGCAAAAGCAATGTTGGTCCCGGCGCACTAAAAGTACTAAAGTGGCGCGCTACAACTTTTATTGGGCGCCAAATTTTTGTGCGGCCGTTGAAGATGCTCTCACTCAAAGATTCCTATTTTTTTGAGGACACACATTGGGCCCACCAAGAGCATATGACACGCCACCTAAGCAACACGCCAACACCTCACTCAAACATGGAATTGCTAAAAAGAAACACGCAATAGAACCTCATTTCAGTTCTTTAAATGCGCGTGACGGATGTTTGGGCTGGATATGAGAGGTGCCCGGGCCGCCTCATATCCGCCTTATATTTGGGCTGGATATGACGGGTGACGATCAGGCCGGTCGTTTGTCTACAGTTTAAGAGCTCCGGTTGGATTTTTTTTGTGACATGTCAAAGACCGGACGGTCTGACCAGACATTTAAGACGTGTTTGAGAGGTCCGTTTGTAGATGCTTTAATGTGCTTGACACATAAAAAAAGTGTTCTAGCATTTATATATGAATTGCTAAAGCCATGCATTATCTGGATTCAAAATATAAACTCTATGGATCAATAATAATGTGAAATATTACCATACATAGACTCAAATTCTATAGAATATGCATGTTTGATAGATCAATGTCCATTCATACGCGAATTGCAAATATCACTAGTCCATTCAAATATTTGAATTCACTCTATATTAATTCTCTGGTGTAGAACAATCTTCTATGCATCGATGCACTCTCCCTCAACCTGTCCTCACACACTCACTATCTTCACACATACGCGCACATAGTATCCAGAAACCTTTCTCTCACATGAACACACTCTCTCTCACACTCTCCCCGAAGTGTCTCTTTCTCTTCCTACCTATGGCTCTTTTCACGAATTTCACTCATGACATTGTTTTTCTCACACGCATACGCATAAAACGCTCTCCATCGACCTACACACTCTCTAGGTCTCTCCCAAACGCGCACTCTCGTTAGGTCTCTCTCACACACATTGTCTTTCTCTCTCTCTCCCTCTCTATCTATCTAAGCCTCTTTTCAATCTCACTTACAGAAACACTCTCTCATGGTCCATGATGACTATCACACACACACACTTTCTACTTCCTCTCTATTTCGCTCTCTTAGGCCTCCTTCGCACACAGACACACATATCTCTCTCTAAGTAGCTAGACTCCATCTGATTTAAATCTCTCTCTCTCTCTCTCACACACACACACTTTCTCTTTCTCTCGCTGACACATTCCCTATCTCCAAGCCACCTCTCACTATCTCACACACAAAACACATTGTCTATCCAGTATAGGCCTCTCGCACTCCCCGGCTATTTAGCCGACCGCGGCACCAAAACCCTACCCCTCCACACTTTCCTCCTCCACTAGTAGAAAACAAAGTTTTATCACCGGTTCGTAAGGGCCTTTAAGAGTGGAGACAAAAGCCCCCCCCCCTTAGTACCGGTTCGGCACGAACCGGCACTAAAGGTCCACCACGTGGCCTGAGCTCGCGCCGTGGTATGGGGGACCTGTAGTACCAGTCGCCGTTGCTTGAGAACATGGTGGGGCACTACAGAGTTAGAAATTTTTTTCTAAAAATTTTGGAAAAAAACTTTGATTTTTTTTTCAAGTGTGGATCACCCTTGATTTTTTCTGATTTATTTGATGATTTAGTCTCTAATCACCCCTCTTAACTACTCAAGCGTGGATCACTCATTCCAAATCGTCTAACTTCCTGGCCGGTCACCCATCCTCTTACTCCCCCAGCCTGACCATGCTTAACTTTGTAGTTCTATTCCCCCTACTTTCCAAGTCTACACTTGTTATTTTCCTGACAAATGTAAGCTGTCAATCCTATTAACCCTCAGCAGTTTAGCTTGAGCATTAGGTCACACGTTTCACCATTTGAGTTTGAAACTATTATTCTAAAAATAGTAATTATTTAGTAACACTAATATTTCTTGAATAAGTTTGACCCCAGTTTGATCATAGTTTGACCATAGTTTGACCAGATTTGACCAAAATTCAAAAAATTGAAATAATTATTTAGTAACATTAATATTCTTGAATAATTATGCAGTAACATTAATACTTCTTGAATAAGTAGTTTGACCAGATTTAACCAAAAAAACTGAAATTTGAGCATATCTTTTTTCCTTTTGGAATTTGAGGATTCTAAAAAATTGCAAATAGGCCATAGGCTGTCAAAATCGGATGCGGATTTTCGTGCTGAACATTTTGATATATTATACGTTTTTTTCGACATCGTATGCAAAAGTTATGGCCGTTTTACTTTTTCATAACACTTTTTTGCAAAACATATCCAAATTTAAGTTTTTTAATTTTCCTAACTAGTAGACGTAGTAATATAACTACATCTCAAAGAATTTTATTTTTTGAATTTTTTTGAATTTTCTTTTGTTATTTTCAAAACTGAAATGGCGATACACGGAGGGGGGGGGGGGTTATGTTGGAAATATGCCCTAGAGGCAATAATAAAAGCATTATTATTATATTTCCCTGTTCATGATAATTGTCTTTATTCATGCTATAATTGTGTTATCCGGAAATCGTAATACATGTGTGAATAATAGACACCAACATGTCCCTAGTAAGCCTCTAGTTGACTAGCTCGTTGATCAACAAATAGTCATGGTTTCCTGACTATGGACATTGGATGTCATTGATAACGAGATCACATCATTAGGAGAATGATGTGATGGACAAGACCCAATCCTAAACATAGCACAAGATTGTATAGTTCGTTTGCTAGAGTTTTTCCAATGTCAAGTATCCTTTCCTTAGACCATGAGATCGTGTAACTCCCGGATGCCGTAGGAGTGCTTTGGGTGTACCAAACGTCACAATGTAACTGGGTGACTATAAAGGTATACTACGGGTATCTTCGAAAGTGTCTGTTGAGTTGACACGGATCAAGACTGGGATTTGTCACTCCGTATGACGGAGAGGTATCACTGGGCCCACTCGGTAATGCATCATCATTATGAGCTCAAAGTGACCAAGTGTCTGGTCACGGGATCATGCATTACGGTATGAGTAAAGTGACTTGCCGGCAACGAGATTGAACGAGGTATTGGGATACCGACGATCGAATCTCGGGCAAGTAACATACTGATTGACGAAGGGAATTGTATACGGGGTTGCTTGAATCCTCGACAGCGTGGTTCATCCGATGAGATCATCGAGGAGCATGTGGGAGCCAACATGGGTATCCAGATCCCGCTGTTGGTTATTTACCGGAGAGCAATCTCGGTCATGTCTACATGTCTCCCGAACTCGTAGGGTCTACACACTTAAGGTTCGGTGACGCTAGGGTTGTAGGGATATGTATATGCAGTAACCCGAATATTGTTCGGAGTCCCGGATGAGATCCCGGACGTCACGAGGAGTTCCGGAATGGTCCGGAGGTAAAGAATTATATATAGGAAGTGCTATTTCGGTCATCGGAACAAGTTTCGGGGTCACCGGTATTGTACCGGGACCACCGGAAGGGTCCCGGGGGTGCACCGGGTGGGGCCACCTATCCCGGAGGGCCTCATGGGCTGAAGTGGGAAGGGATCCAGCCCAAAGTGGGCTGGGGCGCCACTTCCCCCTAGGGCCCATGCGCCTAGGGTGGGGAAACCCTAAAGGGGGGCGCCCCCTTGCTTGGGGGGCAAGCCCCCCACCCCTTGGCCGCCACCCCCCCTAGGAGATTGCATCTCCTAGGGTCGGCGCCCCGCTAGGCCCCCTATATATAGTGGGGGGAGGAAGGGCCTCACACCTACGCCTTTGGTGCCTCCCTCTCCCTCTCCAACACCTCCTCCTCCTCCATAGAGCTTGGCGAAGCCCTGCCGGAGTACTGCAGCTCCACCACCACCACGCCGTCGTGCTGCTGCTGGAGCCATCTTCCTCAACCTCTCCTTCCCCCTTGCTGGATCAAGAAGGAGGAGACGTTACGCTGACCGTACGTGTGTTGAACGCGGAGGTGCCGTCCGTTCGGTGCTAGGATCTCCGGTGATTCGGATCATGTCGAATACGACTCCCTCATCCCCGTTCTTTGAACGCTTCCGCTCGCGATCTACAAGGTACGTAGATGCATCCAATCACTCGTTGCTAGATGAACTCATAGATGGATCTTGGTGAAACCGTAGGAAATTTTTTGTTTTCTGCAACGTTCCCCAACAGTGGCATTATGAGCTAGGTTTATGCGTAGTTCTCTTTGCACGAGTAGAACACAATTTGTTGTGGGCGTAGATGTTGTCAACTTTCTTGCCGCTACTAGTCTTATTTTGCTTCAGCGGTATTGTGGGATGAAGCGGCCCGGACCAACCTTACACGTACGCTTACGTGAGACCGGTTCCACCGACTAACATGCACTAGTTGCATAAGGTGGCTGGCGGGTGTTTGTCTCTCCCACTTTAGTTGGAGCGGATTTGATGAAAAGGGTCCTTATGAAGGGTAAATAGAAGTTGACAAATCACGTTGTGGCTTTCACGTAGGTAAGAAAACGTTCTTGCTAGAACCCTATTGCAGCCACGTAAAACTTGCAACAACAATTAGAGGACGTCTAACTTGTTTTTGCAGCAAGTGTTTTGTGATGTGATATGGCCAAAGTTGTGATGAATGATGAATGATATATATGTGATGTATGAGATGTTCATGCTATTGTAATAGGAATCACGACTTGCATGTCGATGAGTATGACAACCGGCAGGAGCCATAGGAGTTGTCTTTATTTTTTGTATGACCTGCGTGTCATTGAGAAACGCCATGTAAATTACTTTACTTTATTGCTAAACGCGTTAGCCATAGTAGTAG